CTGAACACGCGTCGCAATTGCCGGAATCAGCAGGATTGGTGCGCGAACGCAGATCTGCTACTTGACTTGAAGCGGAGAACCCCGCACTTGGACACTTGTTGCGTGTCGTACTTGCACGCTGAAGCAAATCATGAAAACCTCGTTCGGGATTTCGTTTCTGACCGCGCCACATTCTGAGTGTTCTCAGTGACATTAAAAAATGGCGCTCATCAGCAGGTTGCAGATACTATTTTGCCGCAGTTCTTTGTGATTGACGACGGCTCTGAAGTCATTCAGGACGCAGTGGCAGTTGAAGATCAGGATGAGATTCAAAAGGAGTGGGAACCAACAAAGCCATGGTCGTGCTGAACCTAGTGAGAGAGATGCTCTTAAGCTCCTCTTCGAGCAAGCCTGGGCCTGTGTCAACTCGAATCTCATGACAGTTTCCAAAGTCTCAAAAGTTCTACGGGCTCGCACAAGCAGCGGCGCTTCGTCATCGAAAGGCAATGCTCTTTTGGCTCGTGCCGTCGAAGTTCACCCCTTGGCTGGAACATTTGAACTTCTTTGGTTTCGGCCTCGAAGAATGGGAAAATGAAAGTTTCTGGCTGCGCAAGTTCATAGTTGGGCGCTTGTACTGGTTTGCCAAATCTTTTTGTCTCTATATCTGCGTCCTGCATGCAGTTTCCAGCCAACGCCATCGTCAAAAGCTGGTCAGTCCTCATGTTTAGGAGGTTTGAACACACGAGGTACCCATTTTCTTGGATGACTCGCAATCCTTGGGCGACTCGTCTTCTTGCCCCGAGCTTCCTGGTTTCTGGTCTACATGCTTGGCCAACTCATTCACCCTTTCGAGCAAATCACCTAGCATGGCGCAATTCCTGAGTGCAAAAGGTTGTGAACGCATGCCGCATCGTAATGCATGCTGCTTTGGCAAAGGCCGCAGTCCGCAGAGCTGACGCGCTCGTAGCAGCCACTGCGGTTTTGCCAGTATGATGATTACCAGCGCTAGGTGCCGTCAAATGCCAGCGGAAAATGTCAAGGGCGCCTCAGTCAGCATCCGCAAGAATTGTGAAAAGTCAGAGGTCTTCGGAGTCTACAAGTTTTACTGGAGTCTACTTGTTTTTACCCACACAGTGTGAGTTTCATCAAAATGCCAGCTCGAATTGCCAGGATCCAGATTCAACGTTTTGGGTCGGGTCCACCGGGTCAGACACTTCGGCTTGACCGAGAAAAAACAGCGACATGTGCTTGGATATCTTGCCAAGGAGCTCAAAAGACATGTTGAGCGTTACACACGCGGGCTGGGCAAATGCGCCAGTTTTCAGATCACCGCACTTTTAGCGGGAGTTACCTATCTTACCCATGTGATTTACCTTATCTAGCTTCTCCATCCGATCAATCTTATCTATGCTACCTACCTTACCTATCTGATTTATGCTGTCTGTCTTATATTATGTTGTCTTGTCTTGTCTTACCCTATCTAACCTTAGCTGTGTATCTATCGATCTGCGTACCTATCTTCTTGTCCTTCTATCTATTTTTCTACCAAACTACCTGTCCATCCATTTATTTTATCTACCTTCTCATCTATTTTATTTATGCTTATTCATGTTACCTATCTGATCTTGTCTTACCCTACCCTATCTTATCCCACCTTAGGCGCTTTGAGCCTGGTTTGAGATTGGTTTGACCAGGTGTCGCGATCAGTCTAAGTTTCAGTTATCCGGAAGAGCTGAAACTTGCAGAGGGCTGCGCTTTTAGCGTTCAATGAGTATATGTACCACGGAAGTCCCCTCTAAACTTCCTTTGGGAATGAGGCAGGGCTCCACATATTTCTCTGTGGGTGGCTTTCGCAACCTTCCAGCACTATCCAAGTTTGGATTCTGGCTCCACAAGTGTTGATTCTCCTTTTGGTTTTCCAAACAAACCTGGGGGCGTGGCCCCCCCCAGCAATGGGTTCCCAAAAGCAGCATACAAATAAAACATCCAGCCTTCCGGGAATCGAGCTCGAAGGGCGTACTTGAGCGACACCTTGGTGTCCGGCGATTTCGCCGTGCTGCACAAGGGCAAACAGAAGAATGTGTGCCGCTTGCAGGTGGGCCGCCGGGCCAACGGGAGAAGAGGGGACATTCCACGGGCATTTTGCATTTTGCAGGTGTCGCCTGGTTTAAAGCGACGGCGAAAGAAGAAACCATCATTTGTTTAAACAGCTTCTTTCTTGCGACACATGAGCTTCCCAAAAACACAATTTGAAAGCAATCGGGACGGCTCCTGTTCCTTTCAGGACGATACAAAAGAAAGGTTGATCAAATCGCAACCTTTGCTGTTCCTTCACGGCCTGCACGAATGGTCATCTTTGTCGGGGCCTAAAAGAGCCTCTGTGGCTGGTTTTATTGGTTTCCCTCCAGGCGCTGATTTGGGGGTTGGTGCATGTTTCTCACTTTAACAGGGGTGCGCCTTCCCTTTATCCTGACCGTGGGGCGATTCGGACTCAAAGGACATTTCCTTGTTGGGAGCCGGCTTGAACAGACAACATGTGTCGTCCCTGACTCTCAGGGGTTGACTCCAGGAGCTGACCCTCAAGGGCACCAACGTCTTCGGAGACCTCAAGGAGAAACATAGATAGGTTGCCGAATCCTGGTCTTTCTTTTCATGGATCCGTTCAGCTGATGGCCCATTTTTACGAGCATTTCCCAAACTCAGTTTCCCATTCGGAAAGAGCCATTGCGTTTCAAGCGCCGACCGGCCGTCATGTCGGCAAGCCTAGGAAAAAGACTGGTAGGTTGTGCAAACGTGACGAGGCAGCGAGTGCAAGCACCTTTGGTTGCCAATGGTACATGGAGTTTCCTTCGAGACGCACTGGGGACATTTGGGAATGATGTGCTGAGCTGGCATCGTAAATCGTGCAGACTTTGCGTGTGGGGCGTTGTTTCCATATTGGGCACAAAAAGGGGTGGGCATCCTGAGTTGCCTATGTCGGGCATCAATTTTGGCGGAGCGTTGTTATGTGCAACAGTTTTTTTGTACTATCAGTCACTCCTTACGTCCGCCTTTGTGGGATATGCTGATTTGCCGAGTGGCGGAACAACGGCAAAATAGAAAGAGCACATTTGCCTTTGGTTGCTTGCTTTCGCTTGAATTGCGAATCCTGGGAACAGACGTTTCTTCTGGGACAAAAGAGGCATGTAGTAGTATTATTCGCTACCTTTGCTTCGTTGCTCCTTGGCGTGACCTTCAAAACCTTTTGGCCGTGTTGGGAAATGGCAACTGTCGCTTTCCTCGCATTGGCGGACCAGTTTGCGACAATTGCAAGCATGCTTGCTTCTCCTGGTACAGGGGGATTCCTCTCGACGAAAGCTTTGTTTGGGTTGTAGCCCAGCTTCACCAGTAAACCGCCAGCGTAGCTGTTCGTTTGCCCCGGAAATGCAAGGATCTTCCCGGCTATGCCCAGCTCGTCAGATTGGACCTGCAGGGCACTTCGGTCACCGGGCGCTTGTCCAGTGCTTTGAAGGGCTGCTGCCAGAAGCTGGGCCAACTTGTGCTCAGTGTGGCTCGGAGAGCAGAGCTCAGGTTGACCGGGATAATTCATCCCTAGTTGATTCATATGCCGGCGTGCTTTGCCGGCCAAACACCCTTCTCCCCTTTTAGCATCACTCCCAAAAACACACACATTGGAGCATGGCCCAAAAGGCGATGTTTGAAGCACTCATCATTTCGGGGGAACCAGAAGGAAGCGCCGATCGCGCAAGAGAAAGTGCCTGAGTGTTGAAATACGAAGAAGACGCGGAAGAAGGATATGCACATGTTCCACTATGTGGAGTTTTCTGTTTAGTGAAGGCCTTCAGCACCAAGTTGAAACCCCATCAAGCATATATACTTTGGAATCGGACCACTCAAAGCCTCGTTTTTGTGTGTTTTTCCTCCTGAGGTTTGACTTCCGTGATTCGAGACGTTGTTTCCAACTTTGGGATACCCTCAATTTCGCTGTGCACAAATAGCCAAACATACTTCCCTTGAAGATAGCAATGCAAAGCGGCCTGAGGAAGGTTATGTGGATTCTCCAAACTGGTGGACACTGGAAAGGGGCTGGGGGATGTTGCAGCCCGGCATCCCAGTCTTGTGTATTTGTCAGCTTGAGGCCTTGAGCTACAACCTGGGGGGGGGAGGCACACTGTTTCAATATGACAACACATGTTGCTTCCCGGAGTTCTTTGGTGCCCCACGCTTGGGTGCACAAGCAGAGGCAGTCAGTTTGAACATGCACAATTTTCACAATAGAGACTTCGCGCCTACATTTTGCCGAGTCCACTTGGCCTTTCAGGGCTCAGGTATCCCCTAGGATGCCTTTTGGATTCCCTTTCATCCCAAAACGCTTCACCACTCCCATTCTTAGCACATTTGGAGCCGCTCCTGGCTGCGAAGCCTTGAGAGGGCGAAGTCTTTATGCTTCTTCAATCAGTGCGTTACACAGGAAATCTTGGCCCCTGGATTCCTGGATTATCAATATGTGTCACCCTTTTGGTGAGCGACGTTCGCTTTATTCAGGTAAAGACTCCCAGAATGGCTTGGTTGCAACAAGCCTTGTTTAATTGGACCAGGTAAGGCCAAACGAATCCATTTTTGCCATTGTTTGTTTCTGTGTTTATGCAACAACTTCTGATTTTTGATATTACTCTACTCAAGCATCAGAGTTTCAGGATCTGACCAAAAGACGCGGCAAGGTTCGGGTTGCTTGGCTTGAGTCGCCATAGTTCGGCGGTGAGGACAGCCGCGTGACTCTGCTGCCGACGCCAGAGGAATTGGCAGTGCTGCGGCAGGCCAGCAACCTGGAGTTGTTTTCACGAAGAGCAGCGGCCGGTTGTCGGGCCGGTTACCGACTGCCCGAGGGCTACTCCACCGACCGCAGCGCTACGCTGCTGCCTGCGCTGGTGACCCTGGAGGCGGTTCCAGCGAAGGGCAGGGCGAGGAGAATCCAAACACACCTGGCATTCCTCAATGGACCGCTTTTAAGACATGGCTTGAGTCGCAGGGCGCAGTGCCAGCTTGTGGTGCTCCATCTGGGGTCCAAAGAAACCGTGCCATTTTCAAGAGGGGCAACCCCGCGGTTCCACCGGGAGCCTCCGCTTTTGCAGTGAGTTTCGAGGCAGATCTTGGAGCCAGTTGAAGCTGAAGGCGACTGCCAAGAATCACATGCGTAGCACGGTCGGCTTGCCTCCTTTGAGTAAGCACGGCAACGAGAAAGCGTTCCCTGTTTGGACCTGCTATTCTGAAGGCCTTGATTGTTTTCACCCTCGATTGGTTTGGATTGGCAGTTTGGGGATTGGAACCAGCGATTCCACTTGACAACTGGGAAGCTACCCACACCCTCAAACCGCTTCAAACACCTAGTTTGGGCACACAAAATTGATTCCAGAACGTTTGACTCTTTGTCACATGGGAAGGTGTCCAGAATGACCCCTTCTTTGCTTACCAAAGGTTGGGACATTTTGCTTTGAATTACCCAAACGCCCCCTATTCTTGAGTTGGCAAGATGCTTATCGCCCTTACCCCCCCCCCCCCCCCATTTGTGGAAAGACCGAAGGGACTTGGCTGGTTTCCTATGGATTCCCCCCTCATGGCGGGTCTCTTGTTGATTCTACCCCCCTTTGTCCTCAAAGGGACACTAGGAAGACCTGCGTCCCGACGGAGACACCGCGAGGTCTCCAGGAGCCCCTTACTCGGCCCGGTGGAGCACCTACTGCTGCCGCTGGCAGGGTCCCCCAACGTGGCGCGCCTTGTGGCCAGTGGATGCGGCCTCTTCGGAACGCTTCCCAACCTCCAGGATCGGAAAGCCAAATGGGTGCGGGTCAAAATTAATCCTCTAGAAAAACCGCAGGTTTTAGTCCATGTTTCCATTTACAGGGTTCCATATTGGGTAACCATTTTTGACCCACAGCCAAGTCCCGTTGACTGGGTTTTGATTGAAACAAACCATGCATGGGGTCTCTATAAATCTAGGATATAATCAAAAACCAATTCTATTGGATGGCTCAAGAATTGCTGTCCACGTGCGCTGTATACTTCTCTTCAAACATCATAAGAGGAAACTCACCCTCAAGGGGTTTAAAGCGACGGCGAAAGAAGAAACCATCATTTGTTTAAACAGCTTCTTTCTTGCGACACATGAGCTTCCCAAAAACACAATTTGAAAGCAATCGGGACGGCTACTGTTCCTTTCAGGACGATACAAAAGAAAGGTTGATCAAATCGCAACCTTTGCTGGCATTCCTTCACGGCCTGCACGAATTGTGTATTTTTGTTCGGGCCTAAAAGAGCCTCTGTGGCTGGTTTTATTGGTTTCCTCAAGGGTTGCTCCAAAGAGGTGCAAAGGTGTCAGGTCATGGACGGCAAACAAAGGCACCCGACAACAATGTTCTGCCCTTGTGGCTTGGTCATTTTGAGTTTTGGAGCTGCATACTATTATTCTTAACAAGGTTCCCCACAAACAATAGTTAGTTCATAGTCATACAACCAGCCCCTTAACCTGATTAGGTCGCCATGTCACACAAATAGAAAGTCTTAGTGTCTTTCAGGAAAACCATTTCCAACCTTCCCCTTCCTTCCCCTCCTATTGACATGGTATTCGGCCAAATGCTTGGCTGTTCCGTCTGTTTGGACCTTCAATTCCTTTACACATGGAAAATGGGGGGTTCTTGACGTAGTCCTGTTTCTGTTTGGGTTTCATGTCTCCATGTTTTTCAAGGACACGCACCGTGAATGTCAGGTGAGCTCAGGTGGCTTGGTCGACACTTTCCTTTTGACTGGAAGGTTACGTTTGAGGTATGATCTGGTGCAATGGTATATCTGGTGCCAACCATATCAGATTTGCCGCATGCGACTACGCACACACACACACACACAGAGGAACTCTAGGATAGTTGAACAAAACGGCAAAACGTGGACACTTTCATTTGCCGGAACCTTAGGGAGAGTTGGAAGGGGCAAACGCCCAAATTCGCTTTGCCAGCTGCGTGCTGCACAGGCCTTGGACTCGGTGACGGTGGACGACAGGATGTATGCGCGCTGGGTTAGCTTTATATCCAAGTCCCTGCAGCTTGGAGCGAGCTTACATTGGATTGTTGTAGTCTCAGCTGGTTTGAGGAGGACATGGGGGGGGACAACCTCATGTCCTCTTGGGGAACGAATCATGTTTCCCGTACCTCATCGTACCACATATAACTACCCGCATTTGAGCTGTGCCGTGCCAATTTTTTGGACACTGGGGTTTGACCTTGTGGGGTTCCAATCGGGAGTCATGAGTTTCCGGGCCCAAAACGAATCCGAAGGCAGCTGCTGGACCTGTCCGAGAACCAGATCACCCGCGTGGAGGGCGTTCCGGCGCATACCCTCGTGAGCCTGGCCTCCAACGGGGCCTTGTCCATCCACCCGGGGCTGCTGGCCAAGGCCCTCGAGGCGACGGCGAGAGACGGACGGTGACCGGACCTCTCAGTTGTCGGCACCGGTGGTATTTTTGGAAGGCTCTGGTCCCCCAAAACCGGCTGGTGATCAAACATCGCGGGTCAGGTGTCTTTGCTACCATCTATAACGTTACCCCAAGGAGAGTGTGAAGATGAGCAACTGGCCTGCCCGGAAGTTAGCCCAACTTCAAATGGTCAAAGTTAGCCGTCAAAGGTTGCTGGTAAGTGGGGAGAGGGCGCGAAACTGACTTTACAGACTTTTGAACACTGGCAGCAAAACAGATCCCTGACAGGTGCCCACAAACAAAAATAGAAGCGCACAGATACTTCCCTCTTAGGGCGTGTGGCGAAAGCCTTGCTAGGGTACTGTTCCAAAATTGGAGAACCGTACGAGAGGCCGTCGATTGCAGGTAAACCAGCCACCAACTATCCGAGACAGGGCTCTTTCGTGTACAAGTTTCCAACTGGATTGCCTCCAAACATCACCCCTCAAGGAATTTCACTTGCAGCCGACCCCAAGAAGCCGATGCTTTTTCTCCGAAAGCAAAGGGACCCCATGGAACCATGCGACTGGCATCTTACCAACCACCGGTTGAGCCTCGAATTCCAGGGGGTCCTGCGCGGGCAAAGCTCACCAATGCTTGCTTTTCTCAGGAAGAAAAGGGACATCTCCAAAAGATGCTTTTCTCATGGCCGGTAAACCTGAAAACGAAGACCCAAAGGCCCAAACTGCCAAACTGAATCCAACGCCTCTTGCAGAAACCTCCCAACTCTCGACCCCATAGCCGTGTCAAAAACAAAACCCTGCCCTTCTTTGGAATAAATCAGACAGGCCTTTGGGACAGATCGATGGCCCTGGTAAATCAAAGAAGCCAACTTAAAGCCAGCGCTATCTATTTCTATCCAAACTAACAGGACCTATGCTGCTTTGGTTGCTTGTTTTTTCTTGGCCGCCGAGCCCATAGGATTTCCGTCCGACTGATTTGTTCTGGGAGGAGCGCGTGGAGGTGAAACTCCAGGGCACCGCGTTGTTGAACCAGAGCGAGGTGTTGCAAATGGTCGGCCGCGGGGAGCTGAACATGACCGAGGACTTCAGGACACAGTTCGGTCCAAGCTGCCCAAGGTTCGGACACCAGGGTTTCCTTTGGCCGAGCTTCATGTTCACTTCCATTCGATTTTTGTTCACCTATACCTGGTTACCTAGTTCGTGAACCCGAGATGCAGCGGTCAGGGTGCCAACCACATAGCGTCGACCAAAGCTAGGATGACCGACATCAATCGGGGCTTCACCTGCCACGGCCTGGACAGTGTGTTGCTCCAGGCGAAGCGCGAAGGGCTTCGCGCCGCCCTTCACGAGCGGATCGGACGGTCAGACTGGCCCAAAAATGCTGTGGGGAAATACCCTTTGTTTTGCTCTGGCTACTTGGGAATGTTTCAAAGCTGATCGAGCTTTCCTTTGCAGGTTTTAGGCTGGTTTACGTTTGACTCTGTCCAACCACCCGTCAAAAGGGATCTCAGTTTCCCTTCCAAGTTTCCCTGATGAGCTTTGGGTCAACTTGCGATCCCGTTCTCAGGGCATGTCAGAGCAAGTATCCACAATTTCAGTATCAAGAGAGTCCCCAGGTTTCCCTCCCCCAAATGCACAAAACCAGTCCTTTCAAGACAAAGGCTAGGGGTTTTCTGCGACGTGTTTGAGAGGATCGATTGCTTGCTCTTGGGGGTTTCCAAGCCAAGAGCCACACACAGCTGTGAAGATTCCAATGGCGATGGCCGGAACTTGACCTATGATGACAGTGCCGTTCAGCATTGGAGAGTGACGGACTTTAGACAGTTCTCTGAAACTCTTTGCCATGGCCGTGTCATCTCTCTCCTGTCTCTTTCTCTCGAATGTGAGGAGACCCCACCAAGTAATTCGCGATTTCTTGACTTCCGCGGTGCTCGTTCGCCCTTGGCGAGCTGCCTCGTCCTGCGTCCTTCACCCTCCGGAGGTGTCTCCGGAGCTCTTCCTGCCGCAGGCGCTGTGCGGATGTTCGCCGGGCTGGTACGGCAGTGGCAAAGACTGCCGCAGGTGCCCAGCAGGTAGGGATGTCGAAGCCAAGAGGAGCCTCCCTCTCCACTGTCCACACTTGGCATTTTTCTTTTGGGGGGAAGCAAAAGGACGCCGAAGAGAGTCCAAGATTTGGGAGAATATTTTGGACACATGTGTCAGGGGCCCTGATCAGGCACATACAACAAGCACTTCAACAGAAGCTTCTGCAAGCCGTGCCCGGGGGAGCAAAAATCTCCTGTCGGGGCAGCCTCTGTGCGTATGCTGCCTGGCCGGTAGTGGATTTGTCTTGCGTTTTAGCAATTTTTTGAACAAGGAAATGCGATGCTTCTGGAGTCGATGGCTATGTCGATTCTCTTTGGGTTTGGAGAGGTTTGCTTCACTATCAATTTAGCAGCAATATTTTCGAGAACCAGCAGGACATGGCATGGTATCCAGGTTTGCCTTTGAGACTCCTGCAGAGGATAGAGCTTTCTGGTGTTGGGTTGCTGGACCGGTTTTGGAAGGGTGTTTTGGGCAGGTTCAGGCATTTTGGCTCAGGTGTCTCTGCAGCATCGGGGAGATTTACGACCAGAATGCTTGGAATGGCACCAACACGTCGAAGCGCGACTACGCGTGTGGCTGCCCGGATGCTCAGGCAGGGATCACTTGAACTCCCGAATTAACCGAATCTGACTTTCTGCCAGGTTTTCTTCCCCTGGTCACGACCCAAAAGGCTGGCTGTTGAGCACGCCAAGCCCTTTTCGCCACCAAAAACCAAACACAACGACGTCTTAGCAGACTGAATGAATGAACACATCGAGAAAACAGCGTTTCTCGGAGGTTTAGTTTAGCAAACTCTTTGCGACCCAAGCAGATTCGACTGTTGAGAAAAAGCATTTTCTTTTTCCGGACTTTGGAGAAACAATGTTTTCCTCTGCGAACAGCATTGGAATTATCATGATAAGGACATGTTTTTGGCAGAATATGCTTGAGAAAACCCATCTCCCCTAGCGAGGGAACTACGATCAAAAAGCAAAACCATCTTCCATTCCAGCGCAAGGCAATCGGGAGCCTGGCATATTCACCGGTGCTGGGGAGGCGTCTTTAAGTCCCAGACGGAAAACTCAAGTTGTGATGAAACAACAATGGACTTTGCAAATTTCCAAAGAAGTGCAGCTGCACCGCACCCTCCAGCATTGTTTAAAATGAAGCAAAACACATGTGGTGCCGGGATGTGTATCAATGCGTGCACCTGTGCAGAGGGAAACGGCATCCAAGGGCAGTTGACCCGATCAAGACCTCAACCCCACTTGCTGTAGCCAAAAGTAATCTTTCGGAGCAAGCGAATTGGCGCACAAACCGCATGGACCGATGGGGTTTTGGAACCTGCGCTGCACAGCTCGAACATCTGCAGGCTTTCTGCAAACTGCCAAGAGAGGAATTCTGAAGAGAATCGACTGGCATCGACAGATATCCTTGACTAGACACCCTCCACCCTTTGGCCTGCGCAATGTCCATGTGTTTTTCAGGAGGGCTTTTAAGACATGTCAAGGACCACGCACTCCAGATTAAAATTGATTGGAGGGTAGCTTTTCACTAGGTTTTGAGGGGAGACAAATTCCAACCTATGTTAATCGACTGGCTTGTGCGGGTTCAAGCAAAACAAAGGTTTCCCAGACCGCTCCACCTTGGGTCTTTACAAACACAGCTGCAATACTTGGCACCTATGCAGCATACGTGCAACTGAACCTTACAAACTGGATTTGTTCTATTTCCTGGATTCCAACGGGACACCCTTTGCACATAGATTGCGACAATATGGCACAGCAAGATATGGCAGAGCGCATAAATCAAAGGGGGCACTCTGCAACCATTGGCTTCCTTGCCGAGAGCAGTGGCCCGCTCGGCTTGTCTCAGTCTTTTTGGGCCAAGGACGATCTGCGATGGTTTCCTTTTGGATTCCAAGAGCCGTCCAAAAAGGAGCCGTCCCCTGAGAGCCTCGACGCAAGTGCGGGTGTCAGGATGCCTTCCGAGGAGCCTCCTTCACTTTGCTGAAGTCCAAAACCAATGGGAGTCTCATGCTTTGTGAAGGATGAGAAAGGCAAGCCAAGTGTCCATGTCCAGTTTGCGACGGAAGACTTGCGCACCCAGAAATCGGATAGGCAAATTCACCCATCGCCCGGGGTTTCCACCATGCTGACCCCATCCAAGTACTTCCTTAAGTAACCCGCTTGCGGTCATTTGCCCTTCCAGAAGCGCCAGTTTTCCCCTCATCTTTGTTCCAGTTGGTGCCAAGCCAGAGACGGGTGAGCTGGGGTTTTGTCTGATTTTGTCTGATTGTTATCCCTGCACAGCACCGCACCTGCGTACCGACCAAACATTCACCGGGATTGGAGGAGTCCCTCGTTGGGGTGGCTCGGAATACTTCCGCAGGCGCTTCACGCGGGTGCCTGCGTGGGTTGCCCGGAGCTGCTCCGTGGCCTGAGGGGCCGAGTCTTCTTTTGGTCTTGAATCAATTGGAGTCGTTTCTTTTAAAGCTCGTTTGCGCTTTTTGGGTAGGGGTTTGTTCCGATATTTTTTCTTGTTTCCATGGTTGTCTCCAAGTGTCTTCGCATTGTTTGGATCCTCGATGCAGGGTAGTTTCAATTCTCGTTTGGCTGCCTAGACACAGTTTTGATTTTTGCAGTTGTTCTGGTTGCAGACCTTGGTTGTCCACTGAAATCTGCTGAAGTTCAGATGGGTGTTGGACGTTCCCGTGTGGACTCTCTATTGCCAAGGTTTGAAGCCCTTTGTGTTTTCCTGCGGGGCTTTTGCAGCGCATCACTCGGCCAAAGCCGGTGCTTTCTGTTTCTCTCCTGAGTCTTGTTTGCTTTTTGACCCCTGTTTCGGCTTGGAAAGCGCTCAGCTTGCTATGTCACTGAGGGGGCGGGGTTGAGGGGGTGTCGCAACTGTGCTGAGTTTCACGGCTGGGTTGACTGAGCGGTGAGGATGGTCGACTTTTGAGGCACCTGGACTGCATCGGTTTCGGGGGCTTGGCCGTGAATGCGCCGGCAACGGCTGGCTGGGCACGCCTGGCTGCGGGGGTGCAGACCTTCAGGCGATCCGCGGTGAAATTGACCAAGCCACAAGGGGAAACACATGCTGAAACCGCCTTCTGCTTTTAATTTAAAACAAAATGGCTTGGCTTTTTGTTTCCTTGCAGCAACGCTGTCAGTCGCAAACTTGTGCGACTTCGAGGATTTGCAACAGAAAAGTTCCTTACACTTGCACAGGGAATCTTCCTTCTAGGTTGCTGAAGTAGTATGAATTCAATTTCAAACGCAAAAACTAGGGAACTCACCGTTCGGTGTTTGGAGGGTAGGCTTTGTACGCTGGAATCGAAGTTGACATCCCCAAACCAATCCAAACCATCAATTAGGGGTCAGGTGGCTTAAAAGTCAATGAGTATGTATTTAAACAAACATGTTTCCGGCGCCAAACAGTCTGAGCGTCAATTCAATTGACAATTTGATTGGCTATTTTGCTTTGCACCAAACCCGAATGACTACAACCCAAATTTGATGGCTATATCGGCTATATCTCAACGGATAACTTTTGTGAGTTTCTTTCAGACCGCATCCCCACACAAGGAGTCCAACTTGTTTTGAGACGTACTCCGATGGTCGGTTGTGTCAAACGTATGACATGGATCCATAGGCAGGTCCATTCGCTTGTCATACTTTTTGCAGCCATGGGAGGGCAAATGCTATGGGCTCATTTTCTTTGATCCTCATCTCGAATTGATCCGGGCCGGCTTTCACGGTCCCAAGCTTTTTGTTTTTGAAACCTTCAGTGATCGGAGTCAATCAGGGATCTTGGACCACCGTCAGGATTAGCAAGCTGACCATTGTAGCAACCTACACTGGAATGTTTGTTTCGTTAGAATGTATGGCCTCTCCAGGTTAACCAATCCAAACAACCAATTAGAGGGCAGCTGATACTTGACAAGCTAAAACCACCTATGACATGGTTAAGCTTGTAAGCGCAAACGACTTTGTCAGACTTGTGCTCAAACGGATGTTGCCCGTTTTTTGAATGCACCGAATCCACCAAGCATTGCCCCGCCCCCTGGTGCTATGCCCAGCCTTGGGTTTTTGAACGCCAGGTGCCTTGCGCCGGAGGAGCGATGTGTGCCGGAGAACGACGGATGTGCAGCCGGCAGCTGGGTTTGACGCGAGGGGCCTGCGGGAGACGAAGAAACGGCCGCGGGGAATGATTTGCATGCGGTACTTTTAGCCCGAATGATTCGAGGGTGGGGTAATGTTAAACCAAGTTGCCTTCTGGGAAAAGCATGCTTGTAGCATTCTAGCCCCCTTTTGTTACCCACTTGGTTGAGAAGTTTTTCTGCTGCACAGGGGGCAACGCGCGAAGCAAGAGACCTGTCGGGGCATTTGTGGTGAACCCGGATTTGAGTAGAACCTTCAGCCTCAAGAGCGAAAGACCTTCTCTAAAAGGGCACTGTTCATCAAGCCAGGGTTCCTGAATTCGGAGTGTCCTTTTGTGGAGTTGGTACCCTTTTTTGTGGTGGTTTCACAAGGAAACCAAAAGGACACCCACCATTTTGGGGCCTCCCCCATATCGAGACAGACCCAATTCTGGGTTCTCACTAAGAAAGTCTAGTCATTTCTACTATGTACATACGCGCTGCGTGTTCCAACGCCATATTGAACGCATATAGAGATATTCTGCTGCGCCCGCACCAGCAGCGCTGCCCAGAGACAGGGGTCTGCCACCGGACCAGCTATCGGCCACACTCGCCGCGCGTACCATCACCTGCAGCCGTTTGCATCCGCAGCATCCCTGGCACCACCAAAAACCAGCGTTTCCGCATCACCAGCATCACCCCCAAATTGGCAGTGGAGCAATTCTGCGCCGTCAGCACCAATGCCAGTGTCCCAGAGCGATGCCACAAATATCAACACATATACCAAAAAAAACAAACAAATGAAAACATATGACCTTGGCCTGGAGCCCTGAATCCACCAACCAGATCATGGTGATGGTGATGGTGATGCTAAGTAGGCTGAGCCTGGGGAGCAAGCCAAAAAATCCTTCTTTCCCTGGAAAGCGCCAAATCGATGATGCGAAGCCCCGTGCGTCACCAGGTAAGACTGCTGCCCAGAGACCGGGAAGGCTGCAGCCAATCCCAAGACAACCTCAAGTGATGCCGAACAAGCGGTTTTTGCATGCTGATGACGTGGGTCGTCTCGTGGCGGCAGCCCGGCAGCCTTCGGTTTGGCGACAGACGCTGGCGACAGCTCGCTTTCGCGACAGCGATTTACAGGCTTCGGCTTGCTGCCCCCGATCCCTTTGTCGTGGCTAGTCTAACCCGTCCTGTTTCCTGGACAACTCAGGACCGGGCAAATCAGGACGGGCAAGCAAATCACTCCAGCCGATTCTGTCTTACAGCTTGACCAAGCCCGGGCAAGTCAGGACGGGTAATCGCTGCATTTTGGATCCTGTCAGTATATGCTCCAGAAACCGGTGCCGGTCATGGACAACTCCTGGGACTGGTGCGACTCCCAAGCAACCGCAAGCAACATCAACACCTTCAAGTTGTATACAACGCCGCTCTTCTCTGGAAAGATCTTGAGAGCAGGAATCAGTGGGGTCGGCGGATTCCTGAACCTCGTTTTGCCCACATGAATCCAGATCTACACGTATTGCAAACCATGCAGGATCCGGAAACCCAGCAACACCTCTAAACAAAGAATGTTTCTGTGCGAAAGGAGATGACATGTGAGGAACAAACGCCTCTTTTTGCGAGGATCTTGTGAATTTCTGCTAAGTTTTGAACGGAAACACCTTGCAATTAAGAACTACATTGCGCTTTTGATGTTGCGTTGGACATATGCAGCTTCACGAGGCAGCATGTCCTTGCGAGTCCACGTTTGGCCTCTCAGGCTATGGGGGGCCCTTGTGTGTCACCTGCGCTGACGGATACCGCTCGACTCAGCGGGGCCTCTGCAAGCCGTGCGCTGACTTCGGCCGATGGACAGCCCCCTCGGCGACTTCGGCTTCAGTAGTGGTTGGCATATTGGCGGCGGCTGCTGTGGCGAGTTTCGTGGTGTGGCGCAGGTGGGGAAACAGGGAGCTGGTAGCTTCGATTTCCTGTTGCCATCACGCTTTTGGCCGCACTGCGGCGACCTGGCGACCTGTTGGCAGCCCGCCTTGGGACTGCGTTGTTTTTGTTTGTCGTAGGCCTCTTTCCCCTCTTGCCTAAGGCATTCTCCTGTCGCAGGCGTCGGGCCACGTTGGACGGCTCGGCCGCTTCCTCCGCGGAAGCGGCGCCGTCAGCACGGGACGCGGCGCTGGCGCTGTTGGTGGTGGAGGGGCCCCTCCTGCTTCAGCTTTGTCAGCTGTGGGTGGTGGTGGCCGCGCTGGCTGGCAGTCGCCACCTGCAGGAAACGAAGGAGGAGGAGGCAAAGGGGAAACGAGGAGCCAATGACAAACGCGTTTTGAGCGCCGTGCTAATTTTCCAGAGACGTGTGTTGGGGTCGGCCAGGCCGCTGACCGCAGCTTTGCTGCCGCCTTCCCGGAGCAGCCTTACATGAAGTGGCTACAGCTGTCGGCCATAGGCCTCCAGGCAAGGTTCAGCCAGGGGTATCTCTCAGGGCCTGGGGGGTTCACAAAATTGCGGCCAGGTCTCTATTTTCGGCAACCTTCATATGTTCTAGGGGTACCTTTCCCATTCTTTCTAGGGATCCTTCTTTCTAGAAAACCTCCAGAATTTCAGGGAAAACGGCTGGTTTTTTAAAAGAACGATGGTTGAAAAGAATGCGGAATCAACCCCTAGATATGTATTGAAAGTTCCGTGATTCACGCCCTCCCGTTTTCAGATCCCCAAATGAGCCTCTTGATTTTCACGCAGCAAGAGGCAGTTTCCCATTTTCAGGTCCCTCGAAAGTACCTCTTGATTCTCCACGCCTGCAAGAATTCCCAACCAGCAGGGTGCTTTTTTCCAGTGTGACAACTCTTCAAGAAGGTGAACCGCCTTTAAAAGTAAAGCCGCTCCATTTTGCTTATCGCCCCACCCACTCCCCGCAAGTCTCTTTGGGGACCGAGAGGACGCGCTGAGCCTGGAGTGCACCTACGGCGCGAGTGCGCGCAGCGCCGCCGCGGTGGCGGCGCCCCTCATACCGCTGGCGCTGCTGGCGCTCTGCGGCGCGGTGGAGCTCTTCGCCCGCAGCTCCGGCGACTCTGGCGCCACTTTCGGACGGAAGGCTTTCTGCTGGGTTTCTCAAGGGTTGCCAAAAGGCCAAAGGGATGTGTTTCCGTTTTTCCCCCTAAACCCTGTCCATTCAGGAGGCTGGAACTTTTGGAAGGACTGCTTCACAAAAGAGTTTGAACGCTTTCACGTAGCTTCGCCCTAGTCGCGCAGCAATCGAATGCTTGGTATGCTCGTGGAAATGCCCGGGACCTAACATGAGCGCTGGATTCCCTATCGCAAGGGAACGATAAGATCCTCTAATAAAGCTGCACCAAACATTTTGCAATTACCAGAGTTTGTGCAGTTGGATGTGGCCCGGCCCATGCAACAGAACGAGGTGCCCTCATGTTTTGGTTTTGGAAACGAGTTGAGTTGACCCACTTCGGATGGTGCGTGAACCCTTTCAAAACTGGCCAGGCTTTGGCATTTCGACCAGGGCAAAGAGACCCACATGGGTCGATGCCTCGTGCCTCGCGTCACGACTCCGCTGTTTGCCGAGGCATTAGCCTGGCGCTGAAGGCGCTGACGCTCTTCTTTATCGGCGGTGCTTCAGGCTGTGCGCGGCTGCTGAGCTGCCAAGACACGGACGGAGGAGCGGGGAACATTTGACAGGTGGACTTAGGGAAAGCAGAGCGATGGTCAAAGGGAGCCCCACCTTGGGTGGATTGAAGAAGAGGGTGACGGGGCCACAGGGGCAACTTGGCTTTGTCTCGCAACATCGCTTTTGGGTTTCGATGAAGAACCTTCGAATGATGTGTTTCTTTTCTTGGCTGTGAGCCACACTTGTAACTTTGTAACTTTGTACCCTTCGAATGTCCACGTGCTTCGGATTTCGAACCCGAAGCGAGGCGGCGAGCCCTTGGGCGGCCACGCCTTCCGGACGGCCTTTCCACACCTCAAGTGCTCGGACCCGAGCTGGGCCCCTCGCTCGGGTTTTCCGAAACGGGCCGAACCTCGCAGGCGTGCGCAAGAGATGCTCGGAGTGTCGTCACGCAGTTGGACTCTTCCAGGGACTTTTATGGTTCATTTATGGTTCAAGCCAGTCAAGCACGGCTCCGTTTGGGGTTGGTTTGGGGTTGGCTGAGGGGTTGGTTCAGGGATTGGTTCAGCGTCAGTTTGGGGCTGGTTCGGGTGGGCTGGTTCGGGTTTACTTTAGATTTGGTTTAGGGTTGGTTTAGGTTTGGTTTGGGGTTGGTTCAGAGATTTGGGGTTGGCCTAGTATTCTTAAACTTACGGTTGGTTTGCTGTTGGTTTTGGGGTTGATGGTTGGGGTCCAAAAGCAGCCACAAAAACCAGCCAGACGGCAAGCAAGACAGCCAGCCAGCCAAAAGCCGCCGAAAGCTTCAAAAACCTGCAAAACCTGCCAAAAGCCAGCCAGCCAGCCAGCCAGCCAGCCAGCCAGCCAGACAGCCAGACAGCCAAACAGCCAGACAGCCAGCCATGAAAGCTGCAAAGATCCTGCCAAAAGACGCAAAAGCAAACAAATAGACGGGAGCAATAAGAATGAAGAAAATGGCCCGTTCCAGCCTCATCAGTGCGTTTCCCTGAAGCAACCCTCAACCAACCCTTGACCCACCCTAAACCAACAATAAACCCACCCTCAACAAACACTTTCTTGGCTCAAAACTCCCCGTCCAGCGAAGCCTGAACCACCAGCCTGGTGATGCTGGTGTCAAAAGCGATGCCAGTGGTGCTTCAAGCAGGGTTTGTTTAAAACTGCAGGTCTTCAGGGCATGGGAAGGGCTGATTGGATTGGAAAGCTGCCTGGGTGTGGCTTAGACACATTCTCGCGGTTTGCCTCACATGCGGCGCTGCGTGCGGTTGAGTGGCTCCGGAGCGTGACATGCATGCCGGAGTGGCAAACTCTGGGACATGAAGGGAAGGCCAGAGACTGTCTGCTCATGTTCTCGTCCAGCGTCCGCGAAACGCACCCGAAATACTTGTTGCCCATTCACAGGGTGAATGGGTTCAGCGAAGCATGGAGGATCTCTTCGGTTTCTTTCTTCAGCAAGCCCCCAAGAGAGTTTTTCAACGAAGCGCTGAGATTCACCTGTGGCTTGAGGTGGATGGATTGGGCTGGCTCTGCGCGATCGCCTATGGCGGGCTGATCCCGATCTGCCTGCTGGCCCTCATGATGAAGCAGCACGTGGCCCTCCAGTCGAGCAGGAGATAGTATTGGGGTTGGTCCAACACGATGGACCATGGCACCCCCCAAACGGGCTTCGGTAACTGCGAGGTTTCCTTGAAAACAAACAAAAAAACAGATAGATTGAGGAGAATGCTTCCACGCATCACACTGAAGTAGGAGCTTAGTAGACGAACGCTGGAAAACACTGTGTCAGTTGAATCTCTCTTTGGGGAAAGAACACGGCGTAACCAGGGTCCGTCTGTAAGTTTTCGGTGGAACGCCCACCGACGATTTGGCTAAGTGCCTGCAGATTCTCATTGAGCTGGTTTCTTCAACATCCTACAGAGTCCCGGGAGACCCAATCCTTCGCTACCCTTTCGCACAGGAAGGTGACTGCCTTTGTGAGCGAATACGATGACAAGCTCTTGGTGCGTGTGCACGAGTTCCGAGCCGCTGTCGGCACGGAGAAGGAGGGGCCTGAGACGGCTTTCATTCATTTCCGGATGCGTAGCCGAAGGATTCCCGTTATAGAAAGAGGTCTGGGGGTCAGCGTTCTTCAGATGCTTCGCTGCGTCCGCAGGTGTCCACAAGCGTACGCAAGCGTACGCAGGTGGCAAAGGTTGCCGTGCAGTTGGGGGGGAGGGATCAGAATGTGCGATTTGTATGACTTGCAACATGTTTTCGTTGCCCCTGTTCGCAAATCGTAGCTTTTGCCAGGTTGCGTGCTGGCAGGTGCGTGCAAGCGTTTGCGAGTGTCATTTTCGGTGGCCCTGTCGTACAGTCAGTTTGTCAAAATCGGTCGAAATCGTTCTGGCTTGGCTGACCTGTGCTAATTTCTGACACGCGTCGTAAGCGTGTCAAAGTTGAATCTCGTGACAGACGCAGCGCTTTGGAGCTGCAATCAGATTTCGTGGCAGGCGTGTCAGTGTGGGTGGTCGAAAGTTGAATTCCGTGGTTATCACAGCCCTTTGGAGCACGTCTCACCGGGGGCGCTGGTTTGTGATGGTAGGCGCAGGATGTGGAGGGTCACGTGCAGATTTTGTGGCAGGCGCAGCACTTTGGAGCGCAGAGTGCTGATTTCGTGGCCGGCGCAATACTTTGTAGGATCACTCGTGAAATTTCGTGACAGGCGCAGCACTTTGGAGCACAATCAAAAGC